TAGTTTTGTCAATTTGCGCCAGCACAGTAAAATACAACAGTGCATAAATGTGTCAGTTAATTTCTCAATCCTCTAAGTATAGATTGTGCAATTTCCCTAAAAATAATGTTATTTTTTGTGATTCTCTTGTTATTGCCGAGAAAAACTTTTGAACTTTGTTTCCGTGTGCGGATTCCTTGTTGACAAAGTATCCTTGATGTATCAGAGATCTTTTCATCATCTATGTGGTGCCATCAATGCACCCTCACGATCCCTTGATCCAATCCAGCAAGAGAAAGCGGAAACAAGCTTGTTCAATCACCATGACATCCATATAAGCCTCATTCTTAGTCTTATATCAATTGAAAACAAGCTTGTTCGTATCCGGTCTTGGAGAGTTATACAAGAGACCATATTTTCTTTGCATGTCCATATAATATGGACCATATACTTTCACTGTATGTTCTGATTTAAGCAACGCATTTTTGACCCTTTCCCTACTCCAAATTTGTCAAGTAATATGATTCACCTCACACATCTAAGCGAAATCACTTTGATTTCATTTTAATTTATATGGTGTTCCAAAGAAACAAGTAACATTTTTGGGGAAGAGCGTAACGATTTGAGTCAAATTGCCTCAAGTTACTCCCTTAAATAAAGAGATCGTCGTAGGTACTTAAGGGTCGATTTTCACAAAATTCTTTTTTTTTACACAGAAAGTTATTAGTCTTGAAATCAAGGTAAATAGAAAGATTGTAAATTAAAATAGAAAACAGAAATAAACCGAGTTATATATCAGATGGAAAAACGTCAGGCTTAGAGAAATTCTCAAGAAATATCAGAATTGTAGATCTAGCACTTATGGTTAGGATAAATTAAGAACCGTTCTAGAATTCAAATCACAAAACTGTAATCAACCAATTCTCTTCTGTATTGACTATCTATGTCTAATAGTCGGAATTTTAACCCTCGTCTTTAAATACCTATTACTAAAACGCATTAATAATCAAGTTCGATATGTTCACAAAAGTATCTAATCCAAACCTATTTGTGAATAGCTACTTTTGCCTACCTAAGATAGTTCAAGAAATAAGCGCACTCCTGTGTCAAACTTATTATCCTAAGATCAAATTTTATTTAGATACTCTAGAATTAGCAGTAAGAACAGTCAAAAGTGAAGAACTCTACAGATTTTATCCTAGTTGAATATTGATCTAACAATTCATCCAAATCCCTATTGAGAATCTCTAAACCTAACAAGAAGACTACTCAGACATGATCATAGAAATACAAAAATGATTGAAGTAGAAATCATAAAATGAAACAAGAAGAGAATATAGTTTAGAAAGATCTTCTCTCTACAAGGTTTTGAATTCTGAAAGAAAAGCTATCTCCAATTATCTTCCAAAGGGTTCAAGCTCTCAAAATCCAAGAGAATTGCAAAGTAAAAACTTGATGAAAATCAAACTCAGGTCTAAACAATGACCCAAAATTATATTTATAAGTTCTCAAAAACGTTCATGGACTAATATTGCAAATAGAGAAGTCTTATGGGGTCTTCTGTAAGTTTTTAATTCTTGATACTTGTCTGGACCGCGAACGGTGTCGACCGACACCAATGAATGCCGATCGACACTGATGACATGGTCTGACTCCAAATTCGTTTCTTTGGTTTAGCTTTCTCAATTTCGCTCCAAAATACTCCATTATCTCCAAATGCATCCCGATCGTATAAACACCACAAAAGACTCTAAAAAGACTCTAGAAATAATGAAAAAAACTCTAAAAACGATACATATATCATGGCAAAAACCGTAAAAATCATGATATATCACGTAACTCAAGTCGCCATCACCGAAGTTAGAAAGAACTATCCATCTTACCTATATCATCGACAATGCAACAAGAAACAATATAATCTCTTTAAGGCTGCACACAAGTTCCAAAATCTCCTTTAGCGTTGATTTGGGGCAAGAACAATCAGATTTATTCATATAATGATTGTTCAAGATTATTTTTATTATTCATTTTCCTACTTTTAAGTAATCTTCTTAGTTGAGTAATAAATATAAAACTTCTCGATATCCGCTTTTCGCTTGGTCATGCGTGTGTTCGAGTAATCGAAAAACTTTGCTCAGCTTTTCTCTGGGATGGACCAGATTTAAGTTCAAGGAAAGCGAAAGTAGCTTGGAAAGATGTTTGTCGGCCAAAGAAAGAGGGAGGATTGGGAATAAAATCGATTAAGGAGGCAAATTAGATTTGTTGTTACAACTTTCAGCAAGAAAATCACTTTGGGTGAACTGGATTCATCGAGAGTTAATCTGTACGGGATCATTCTGGTTGGTCAAAGTGTCTACAACGATGAGTTCATGGATGTGGAAGAAACTCTTGAAGCATAGACCATTAGCAAAGGAGTTATACAGGTCTGATGAGGTGAGGAGCGGAGGGAATACTTCATTCTGGTTTGATAGTTGGACTTATATGGGCTATTTAGTATTTACATGATGTAATGGCCTAATGGGAGATCAGGGTTGCATTGACATGTGAATTTATTTAGATAAAACAGTCACAAAAGTTTTGGATACTCATCGACTGATCGACAAAGAAGGCATCGAGTTCACATATTAAATCAGGTGGAGGAAACAGAGTTGTCGACGATATCGCAAAGTGGAAAGCAAAGGATGGTAAATTCAAGCTGTGTTTTTCAGCGAAGGACACTTGGCTTTAGATTTGGACAGAACATTAAAAAACAAAAAACAGTAGGTATTAAGGGGTTTGGTTTGCAAATGAGATGCCTAAGTACTCGTTTATGGTGTGGCTAGCTACTCTTAATAGACTAGTTACGGGTGATAGAATGTGCTCCTGGTCATCGCATGTTGATTCAACGTGTGTGTTTTGTCATGATCCATGAGTCAAGGGATCATTTATTTTTCAAATGCTCTTTCTCAGCTCAAATTTGGGAATCTTCATGCAAGGTTTTACTCTGGATTTCTCTATGTTGCTAGCTACTGTCTCTGTTTCTCAACTATCAAAGACACATTAATTAATCCTACGCTATGTCTATCAAGCGACAATCCATTCAATTTGGAGGGAATTGTTCAAGTATTTGACCGAGCTGAGGAATCGGCTTCTATCTCTTGAAACGGGTTCGAGTTCCATGAGGAACGGACTTCAACTCTGGTTCGCTTCAAGACCGTGAAGCTTCAGCATTTTTATTCTTTACTCTGTGTTTTTTCAGCTTTAAGATGCATATAATGTCAACAAAGTTATTTTTTGTTTAAATAAATTTATCATTCATTCAATATATATATAATTTTAACAGATTTTTATTTGGATTAGATACAAAAGAGTATAAAATTGGCAAGGGCTTTACTTACGAACCTCCATAAAACATCATTCCGAATAATAAAAAATCGGCCTTGTATGTATACCCAATAATAGGCCTGGGATTTCGGTTAACCGTTCGGTTATCGGTTGGGTCCATTCGGTTTCGGTTCTTTCGGTTTCAAAATTTAGTATCCATTCGGATATTTTGAAATTTCGGTTCGGTTTCGGTTCGGTTCCGGTTCTTTCGGTTTTAAAATTTAGTATCCATTCGGTTATTTTGTTTAGAATATTTTCGGATATTTCGGTTATTTTTAGGTATTTTTGGATATATTTCGTTTATTTTTGAGTGTTTTTACAATTTTTATATATTTTTCAAGTATTTTTGATTATTTGGTATATAAATAACTAATTATTTTGAAAATATAATTGTATTCCGTGTATTTCGGTTACCCGAAATATTTCGGTTCGATATCGATTCGGTTACGGCTATTTCGGTTATAGAATTTAGTATCTATTCGGCTTTTTTCAAATTTTTGGTTCGATTCGGTTCGGTTTTTTTTGCTTCGGTTTCGGTTCGGTACATTCGTTTAGTCGCCGCAGGTAGTTGCGGCAGTGGCAAATGCATGTGAGATTGTTCGTTTGGTCGCCTCAGGTATCTGCGGTATAACGCTGCAGCAAACGCTGCGTTCTGCGGCTAAAAATTTTGGACACTAATTAAAGTCAGCGTTAAACGATTAAAAGCTGCGGTTGTCGTTGCCGCAGCCGCCTGCGGCGACAAAACGAACAAAAACATGTGGTAATGTTTGCCGCCGCCGCTGTCGGTAATGAAACGAACAAACTAAATGGTAAAAAAATTGAGGCAAACTTTCAAAATTAGGTACTTTTGCAAACTTGTATAATAGAATAATACATAAATATTCATTTTATATTTAACTTGGACTCTAATATTAAATGATGAAATTCGACCCAAAAAAATTGCAATGTGCGTTATTATACTTCAACAAAAACACAGTATTTTTTTCAACATCAACATTAAAATAATATAAATAAATTACCTAGACTATTAAATTTGAGTGTAAAACTACATTGATTTAATAAAATTAGTCAACTGTTTGTATTAGCTCACTTAGACGATACGATGGCGATGAGGTATCATTTGATCTTAATCAAACGACGTCATTTTGGTCATTTGAGTCCAAAAACAAAACCGAACGACGTCGTTTTGATTATTTGACTCCATATACTCAACAAAACAACGATGTTTGGTTAAGACAAAATAACTTTGGTAAAGATAATATGGCATCGTATCGTCACTGTGTTGAGTTTATAGACTCAAATGACCAAAACAATGTTATCTCTTGTTGCCATTTTATCGTCTAAGTGAGTGAAGACAAATGATTGACTATTGTTAAAAAAAAATCAATATAGTTTTACGCTTAAATTTAATAGTTTAGAGAGTTAATTTAGATTATTTTATTATTAAAGTTGAAAAATATTTAATCTTTGTTAAGATATAAAAATTTAACTTTGCAATTTGTTGGGTTTGAAATTTACCTTTTTCTCATCTCCATTATCTATAGATACGAAAAACCAAAAGAAATTGCTTACGTGGCACAACTCTCAACTCCATCCACCAATCAGAATATTTCGATATAAATAATATATCACAAAAATATTGAAGAAAATCCAAAATCAATTTGTAAAATTGAATTTGTGTGGAGAAAGAAGCTCGTCACAAAGACTGAATCTGTGGCTGCGTCTATCTCTGAAACACATTCTTCCACATCTCTTCTCTTTCTCTCAAGACAAAAAATGGTGGAAGATGAACAATGAAGAAAAATCATTGTTCTTGTTCATGCATTAACCCTGTTGTTATGTTCCTCCATGGCCTGTTACATCGTTCCTTATTACCACAATCCGGTTTTGTCTCATCCCAATAGAGAAATCATCAGTCACCGTCACCACCACCGTTTCTCCAACAAGCTCTTGAAGACAAGAATTAGAGTTCCTCGAAGTTCCGCCATTAGTGACGGTGGTGTCTCCTACAATACTCTAGTCTCCGAGGTAAGCCAATTTTCAGGGCAATTCATTTTAATCCTCCTTGAATTTTCAGTAAATGTTGTAGATTTGTGTAGTTTATAATCATAATTAAATTGGGTCTGGCTTTAATTTTGAATTTGGGGTCTTGAAATTGCGAAAAGGATCGAACTTTGGAGATTTTGTAGCTCAATCTTACTCTATCTCTATTGCTACTTCATAAAAAATGAATCTTTGTTTTGATTAGTGAATATTGGATTACATGTTTATGTAGTGGAGTTAGTTGATAATGTGAATGTTAATGGTGGTATTAGGCGGTGAGGCTTTTGGTTCCACAAGCAAACTTTGATTCCTCGAAGCTTAAAGTTGAGTTCTTAGGGGAGTTATTGGAGAACAAGAGTAGCGGAGGGATTATTACGCCGCGGACTTATATTCTTTCGCATTGTGACTTCACTGCTAACTTAACCTTAACAATCTCAAACGTCATCAACCTGGATCAACTAGAAGGCTGGTACAAGAAAGATGATGTGGTTGCTGAGTGGAAGAAGGTGAATGACGAGTTGCGTTTACATATTCATTGTTGTGTGAGTGGTATGAGTTTATTGCAGGATGTGGCTGCAGAGCTTAGGTATCATATTTTCTCCAAGGAACTGCCTTTGGTTAGTCTTCTTCATCTCTCGTCGGTCGGTTCTTAATGAATGTGAAAATGACTATCTAACTCTTTGGTGTTGTGTTTGAGATAGGTACTAAAAGCTGTGGTGCATGGAGATTCAGTTATGTTTAGAGAGAACCCTGAGCTAATGGATGCTTATGTATGGGTTTATTTCCATTCAAGCACACCTAAATACAACCGGATCGAGTGTTGGGGACCTATCAAGGATGCTGCAAAGGTATAATTTAATTCGCGCTGGCTCAACTTGTGCTTTGTCCTTTCATACAAATGCCGGAAATGTGAAATCTTTGGTTCTGTGTGTTTTTGGTGGTGAAGGGAAAGCAGAAGGGAAATCATCAAGGCTTCTTGAGTTCAACGACTTCGAAGAAATTGATTCAACATAAGTCTATCTTCCATACCCTGTTAACGTTTCTTCTGTGAGACAAAGTTGTACATTCTCCTGTTTTTTGCAAATGATGTAGATTTCTTGATGAGCATCTGACACAAGTGCAATTTGCCAACATTCAATTGTTCATACATGGAAAATTTATGAGAGCCTAGTTTCTTAATGTTTCTTCAATATTAGTTGTCGAATACCTCAAATTTGAATCCATTGATGAGGACATTACAGACAAGAAGAATGTCACATAAAGTGGGAGAGTCAAAGTTGTGGGAGTTCCTGCTCTACCATCAGTAAATCACTTAAAAAAAGACAAACAAATTTTATTATTTAATATTTAATTCAAAAAATTCAACCAATTCTCTTTTTTTTTTCTATAACAAAAATTAGTTGAATATAAAGGTTCATAAAGAGATTTTCGCAATAGCATATGCCATGCGATTAGAGTCTCTTGGAACAAAGATGAAGCTAATATTTTGAAGAAACTCGTAAAGCTCTATCTAAAGAGTTTCCGAAATGATGGCTTCGATCACCTGTTTGGAGTCTCAAGAAATAGTTAGGGTTTTCATGCCAAGATCCGCGGATTGTTGAAAGGCTAGGCGAATCGCGCAATTGCTTATGCCCTTAGAAGCGATCTAACATGGGCTAAAACATGCGATTGTTCTCTCTTTCATCCTCGTCTCAGAGATGTAAAGACACGCAATTAGTGTTTTACAATTCAACCAATTTTTTTCTATAACAAAAATTAGTTGAATATAAAGGTTCATAAAGAGATTTTCGCAATAGCATCTGCCATGCGATTAGCGTCTCTTGGAACAAAGATGAAGCTAATATTTTGAAGAAACTCGTAAAGCTCTATCTAAAGAGTTTCCGAAATGATGGCTTCGATCACCTGTTTGGAGTCTCAAGAGATAGTTAGGGTTTTCATGCCAAGATCCGCGGATTGTTGAAAGGCTAGGCGAATCGCGCAATTGCTTATGCCCTTAGAAGCGATCTAACATGGGCTAAAACATGCGATTGTTCTCTCTTTCATCCTCGTCTCAGAGATGTAAAGACACGCAATTAGTGTTTTACAATTCAACCAATTTTTTTTTATAACAAAAATTAGTTGAATACAAAGGTTCATAAAGAGATTTTCGCAATAGCATCTGCCATGCGATTAGCGTCTCTTGGAACAAACATGAAGCTAATATTTTGAAGAAACTCGTAAAGCTCTATCTAAAGAGTTTCCGAAATGATGGCTTCGATCACCTGTTTGGAGTCTCAAGAGATAGTTAGGGTTTTCATGCCAAGATCCGCGGATTGTTGAAAGGCTAGGCGAATCGCGCAATTGCTTATGCCCTTAGAAGCGATCTAACATGGGCTACAACATGCGATTGTTCTCTCTTTCATCCTCGTCTCAGAGATGTAAAGACACGCAATTAGTGTTTTACAATTCAACCAATTCTAAAAAAAAATTATAAATAGTCACAAAATATTAAATGCTTTTAGTTTTGCAACTGAATTTGATCTAACATCTAATAAAATGAAACAAAAAAATCTTATATTTGAAACTTAAACTGTAAATTATCAAAATGAAATTGCATTTTTTTTTTTTTTGAATCAATAAAAAACAAGTTCAAATTATTTACCTAAAGCTTATAATTCTTAATTCAATTAGCTAGTCCAAGTTAGTGGGTTATCATGTCGTGTGGTCCCATGTATTATTCTTGTTAGTTAAGATGAGTAGAAATATCGTAGCTAAGTTTTATAGTTGATTCCAAATATTGATTGCTAAGCGGATTTGTAGTGTCATGGATATTGCCGGTCCTGAAATTTAGGGGGCCTAAGTTTTAATATATTTTTTTTTGATAAGGTTTAGAAAATTGGAAGGCATGTCATTGCGAAAATAAATAATATGGAATTCCGGAGCCCAGAGCCGTGCTTATAGTGTTACCAAAAAGGCATTTGCTTTAGACCGCTTGAAATTTTAACATTTTAAAGGCCACATTTATCATGACCGTCTTTTCCTTCTCTCTAAAAAGCTCTCCTTTCTCTCTAAAAAAACAGATCTAGATCGGAAATTGCCTGGGCTGGCTCTGGTGGCTTCCACAGTGCCGTAGCTATGCCTCTTTTGTCTTTTCTTGTTTTATGTTTTGTCTTGCTTTCTGGTTTCATCCCTAGTTTCGTCGTAGTCGATCAACATCTTCTCCGGTGGTGTTTATCATTATCGGTGATGTGAAGAGGTTGTTTTGGTGGCAAGATTCTCGACAGCTTGGGCCTCAATCGTTGGGTCCAGTGGTGGTTACGGCGCAAGTGTGGAAGTCAAGGTTCGTCGAAGTTTCCCAGATCTGTTTCTGGCTCGGTTCCCAAGTGTCTCGTGTTTTGGTTGCGGTCAGGTTCGTTCTTCTCACGGATTTCTTCTCAATTGCTCAGTTTTAGCATCATTGAGCTGGTTTATCTTCAATTGTGTTACTCGTTGATGTGGATGGTTGCTCATTTTAGTCCGATCTTTTGTGCTCTTGCCTTCATCGTCGCTGGCTTCTTTTATCGTTCTTAGAGGTAGTCTTTTTATCTGTCCGGTTCGATCTCTTGCTGATATATCACTATGTCAGTGTTGTCCGGGTTGATGTGGTTCGCTCCTTGTCTCTACGTTTATAGATCTGATCGAGATCTCATTTGTTCAATGGATTCTTTTGAGGCGTTTTACAATCGTGTTCCTTCGATTTCGCCGTATCCGGGAGTTCAGTTGTGATCTTGATGTCTTTTGGCCTTGATCCCGTCTCGCCGGTCTTGGATTCCTCGGAACTTCTTCTCAGTATGGTAGTCTGCATCCGCTATAGGTGGAACCGCTTTTCTTTGGTTGGGATTATCATCCTCTTCGTTTAGCTTTCGGTTAAGGCTCCTCTACGGTCTGTGTTTGTGTTTGGCGATGTGTGTTTGGCTTGATTCCGGATTATATTGTTTGTTTCTCGTCCATCAGTTTCGGTTATTTTCCCTTGTTGTTTAGCGTATTGTCTTTTGTTTTAGTTTACAAGGTTCCCATTTCTTTGGGCATAGTTTTCGGGGATGTGTTTGTCATCCGCCAACTTAGTTTCTGGGGTTATTTCGTTAACCGCCGGCTTCGTTTCTGGGAGTTAAAGTCCCGCCGGCCTTTGTATTCCAACAACGTATTTCACCTTTGTTATATAATCATTCAGACGAAAAAAAAAAAGGCCACATTTATATATGACGTTATTGTTTTAAGTAATTTGTTTCTTTACTTTATAATCATTCTAATTAGATTTTATGATGAAATTTTCGGTAATATCATATTTTGATTTTTTTTCTTAAAAAATACATGCGTATATATCATTAATCCTTACATACACATATATACTAATATGTACATAAGAAATATTTGTTTTTGTGTTGCATAGATTAGAGGATCTTATGAAGTTATAAATTTGTGAAAAAACATTAACTATGATGATTTTATAGTGCTTTAAATCATATTTTGTTAAAAATAAAAATTTTTGAGTAAAAAAAACTTATATAATTATACAAATTAAAAAGGCCACATATTTATAAGTTGCCTTAGGTCTCGCTAAACCTAGGCACGGCACTGCCGGAGCACATGACCATAATCATAGACACAAATAATTATAACTCAAGCACCATTCACTAGCGTCCTATTTGATGAAAGAAAACCCAAAATAAATCGTAATTAAATAAAATTTTCCATTTGTCCCTCCACTTGAAGCAGTTAAGTTGAATAAGCTGTTCAAAAACTTAAATCTTCGGCTGCATGTAAACTGTAAATGTTAGTTGAATCCTAAAATTATAACATATATTATGATTTTAAAGCATTTTCATAGAGGATCCAACAAATACACATACTTATTTTTTGTACTGATTTTGAAGTCTCTTCAATTTTGCCATTAAATCTCTAACTGATTATAGTAGATTGTACAATAAGGAATTTTTGATTGTCTATTAAAAATATCTAACAACATAAAAAAGTTTGACATATTCCTTTATTACCAGAGTTTGAAGATGACTAAGATTTGGTAGTGATGGCCACCAAAGGATCCATGTTAGTTTGTAAAAAATGGTTAAGTGTCAAAAGATAAAACAAAAATATTTGAAATTTTCAAAAAGTTAGCTTCTAAAACATAAAAATAAAAATTTATGGCTAAAATGATTACAAGATGATATCTACATGTAAATCAGTTGATAAATACATGACTTGAACACCTAATATGGCTAGTTTGCCGAAAAAAAAAACAAAGAACACCTAATATGGCTACAAATATACATGATGCATCCAAATAAGTTGTATATTAATAACAATCCCTTTATAATCTAGAAATGGGCTCATTTTACTAACTCAGACGAGATGAACCAAAATCTAGCAAAATAGCCTAGAGATGCACCAATAAAAATCTGAATAACCATCGCATATAAACTAGATTAGGAAATGCTAAATACTTAAACCATATTATATTCAATTCTTTATTTACTAAAACGACATTACATTTCATAACAAGTCGACATTCATTATAGTATATTAAATCATCCATTACAATATTTGAGTAGTATTTAAAGAATATGGATCAATCCATTTACATTACATTATATTACATAGTTTAAATTATTAATAACATTAGATACTCTAATATTTGATTAGTAAATTAGGAACGTGGGTCAATCTACTCATCGGTTATGAGTTGAAATCTCATGAAACTTAACATGATATCAGAGTCTGATTCATAGGTACCCTATCTAATAGCTGGTCCATCGATCTATGCCCGAACATATATATCAAAATCAATGGCTAGGAAAATCATCATCTCGAGGGGACATATTGGGAATAATGTCTCACATCGGAAATTGGACAAAGATCTTGACTAATGTATAATAGATATAGGACCATCCACTCATATCCAATTGGTTTTGAATTGAAACCAAAAATAACTTTAAAATAATATCATTCATCATGCCGCTCTAAGTAACGTTCATGTGTTTCTACCTGAGTATCTCCGACTTGGTTAAGGGTGGTATGCACGTTAAGAGATATGGTTGTTATGGTGAATTCTTTCTCGCGAGAGATTCAATTTGATATACTACTTATAAATATTTTTATAAATTTGAGAGTAATTAGGAAGGGTTATATTGCATATTATTTTTGATTTCGTATGATTGATCTGTATTTTTTAGAG